GGCCTGTATGCGATGCTGGTTTTTAGTATCTCTCTCTGAAACTTGCTGTAAAACGTACAGGGCCGCAGAGGTTCTCGGCCGGAGAGCGGGACGAGCTCTGCGGAGGGAGCAGGGTTCCCCCGGCTGCCGCGTTAAACCCTCCCTTGGCCACCCTTCGCGGGCCCGAAACGGAGAAATGCTTTCTTAGAAGTAGCGCCCAGGCCCTTCATTCTCAGTTTTAGGGATGAAACCTGCGTTTGAGTTGGTTTCTGTGGAAACGGATCCGCGTTAACGTCGAGGCTCTGCCGGCCGCTTCGCCTGGGGCAGAAACGCCGGGGTCAAACGTACTTCCTTAAGAAGATTTTCTCCTGTTTCCAGATAAAGGGGACGTGGTTTCCAAATCAGCTTAGAGCCGGGGCGCATATTGAAACGTTACTGCGTCGCAGGCCGTGGCGGGCGCAGCGAGAACCGCTGAGAAGGCTTTGCCTTGATCTGTCGTTCCGGGTTCACCGGTGACAAAGGCGGAGGCAGCGTGTTCGGAGTTGTCCGTGAACCTCACGGCAAGGAGCCTCGTTAAGGGCGAGCGGGTGGTTTTTCTCTCCGCTCGAAGCGCTGCTTAGCTGGCGTTGGCGCGAGGCGGTGGCTCTTCCCAAACCAGGGAGCGCGGGTTTGTGGACCTTGGGGTGCGTTAGTAACTGCCTTGGCCAGGGAGAGAGCCGAGAGCAGTTCAGGGAGAAGCCAAGGCGAGGAGAAATGCCCCGAAACCGGACGGTTTTGGGCTGTTTGCGGTGGATCCGCGGGTGGGAGCGGAGCCTGGCCGGAAGGACCGGTGTGGTGCGCGCCCCGTGTCCTTCCGTCCCCCGTGAGGGGATGCTGGTGGGATGTAGGAGTGCTTTCCCAGCCGGCAAGCGCGGTTTTTCCTCGCGGGGCCTGATGCTGCGTCTCGCCCGCTCAGGTGGCGGCCTCGCTGCTGAGGCCTTTCCCCTGCCCAGGGCTCATCTAAGTTTACCTTGTGGTTTAAAAATAAGGGAGAAAAAGTCATTTCCAAGAGCTTTCGCCACTTGTGAGCTTCCTCCCAGTGGAGCCAAGCGCGGCCCGTGGAGCAGTGACGCTCTGATTGTTTTATTTTACAGGTCTGGGGGTTTCCCCTCTGTCTCCGTTACAGGTACAACCAATTCAGCTCCCGGCAAAGATGTCACTCTCCAAAAGGGAATTGGATGAGCTGAAACCATGGATCGAGAAGACGGTGAAGCGAGTCCTAGGGTTCTCGGAGCCCACGGTGGTGACCGCGGCGCTGAACTGCGTCGGGAAGGGCATGGACAAGAAGAAAGCAGCCGGTACGCCCTCCCCCTGCCGCTGTTCCTGGCGGTGGTCAGATCCCTTGATGGCGAAACTCGGCGCACACGGATCCACCAACGGCTCAGAAAGAGCCTCCAGTCGGGTTTAAACGCCCGCCCTCTGTTCCCAACCTGCCGGGGGTGGTGCTGGGCAGGGTGGCAGCTCGTGGTTTCTTTGCTGGTGGTGGCTGGCAGCGTCGGGGGGGAGTGTGGGGGAACGCCGTCCTTGCAGCTGTGACATCTGCTTTGCGTTGAACTCGTTCCGTAAAGCAGGCGAACCCGCCCCAAACCTGGAAGCTCTCGCCTGTACAGGCAGGTGTACACACAGGGGGGTTCGGATTTGATGGGGTGAGTACGTGCAGGTCCACGCAGACAGGTAGGACAACAGCCTTGGGACGTGGTACCAAAACCAGGGAAGCAGAAATTAATTTAAAGCGTCTTTTTCTAAAGAAGTGGTAATCTAACCCATGACGCTTTATTTGACCGTTAGAGCCCCAATTGCTTTCTAGTCCAGGCCTGGACTCCCTTAATCCTTCAGAGTTCAAAGCCTCTGACACGAGGATCTGCAGTTCCCGGAGGTTTCCGGAGCTCAGGTCGCAGACCCCGCTGTGTGAGGTGGTAGAATCCACCTTTAAATAAGCGTTTTGCGCAAGTCCCCATGAATTCTCTGCTCTCCCGCTCATCCCGGATGGTGAATTCCGAACTCACGCAACTCCTCCTCTTTTCCAGACCACCTCAAACCCTTTCTCGACGATTCCACCCTGCGCTTCGTGGACAAGCTCTTTGAAGCGGTGGAGGAAGGCCGAAGCTCCAGGCACTCTAAATCCAACAGCGACCGGACCCGCAAGCGAGAGCTGAAGGTGATTATTGACCGTTGATTGTCTTTTATTCCTGAGGTTTGGTGGCCATGGGGGCAGCACCGGTGCTCTGCCACACTTTCCTTTGCCAGAGCGGTACATCTCGTAACGCTGCAAGTTCAAGAGAAAAGACTCTTCTCCATGATGAAGTGTGTGAGCCTTT